TCTATTCCTTTTTTTTTTTACGGGGATATATAAGAACTGGATAACAGATAGATGAGCTTTTGCAGGTCGAGCCTCATGCAAGGTCACCCTCAACGTGACAGCTCGAAGTACCGAAGCTCCATTCATGAGAGCTTCAGCTTCGCGCGCAATTGGCGCCATGGGCTGCTGAACACGTCTCACTTTGAAACGGCACCAACTCTTCCGCTAGTGGCGCTGCTTACAAACAAGCTGGCGTTTCAGGTGTGGGCAGTGCGCGTGCGCAGATGAGGTGAAGCGCCTGCACGCGCGCCGACAGCGGCGCCACCGTCGCAGCGGCACGACGTCAGAGAGCAATAAAGTCCGTGGTCGCCCAAGCAAGGTGTAAGTGTACCGCGCGTGCGTCCACGCCGGATTTTCTAAAACTCTCAAGACCCCTGCCCGCGGGGGTCTCCCAACCGGCCCGCGGCAGGCCACGGTCCTTCCAATGAAACCCTGCCCGTGCGACCCGGAATCAGCAGGCCCGCTTCTACCGGTACAGAAATAAGTGAGCGTAAACAGAGGGCCCTGCAGCACGCGCCAACCGTGTAAACTAAGAAACAGAAAACCACTAAACAAATATACTGAAAAAAAAAAAAAATATATATATAATGGGATTGATTGAAGATTGACAAGTGCAGCCGTAGTAATATTGAGAACGAAGAGGGGAGAAGGTGATTATTGAATTTATTGCATTAAAGTTAGGGAAAGGGAAAGGGAAAGAGAGCTGGCGAAAAATTGGGCCAGGAGCGGGGATTGAACCCGCAACCTTCGCCTGACCGGGGCGACGCCTTAACCGATTAGACCATCCTGGTTTCGGCGGACTCAATTTCTGACCAGCTCTCTGTGTACTGTTTAGTTTCGAATTCGCTTAACTGGGTAGACGACAACCGTTGCTGATTTAAGGCCCGCGCTATTTCCGACATGCGGCAGTGACGTGGCACGTCATCTCAGCTTGCAAATGTCGGAAAGGGCCCGTCTTCCAGGATATCTAGGGAACCACTCCTCCCCATAGGGACAGGCTGCACCGTATATATAATGGGATTGATTGAAGATTGACAAGTGCAGCCGTAGTAATATTGAGAACGAAGAGGGGAGAAGGTGATTATTGAATTTATTGCATTAAAGTTAGGGAAAGGGAAAGGGAAAGAGAGCTGGCGAAAAATTGGGCCAGGAGCGGGGATTGAACCCGCAACCTTCGCCTGACCGGGGCGACGCCTTAACCGATTAGACCATCCTGGCCACTGGTTTCGGCGGACTCAATTTCTGACCAGCTCTCTGTGTACTGTTTAGTTTCGAATTCGCTTAACTGGGTAGACGACAACCGTTGCTGATTTAAGGCTCGCGCTATTTCCGACATGCGGCAGTGACGTGGCACGTCATCTCAGCTTGCAAATGTCGGAAAGGGCCCGTCTTCCAGGATATCTAGGGAACCACTCCTCCCCATAGGGACAGGCTGCACCGTATATATAATGGGATTGATTGAAGATTGACAAGTGCAGCCGTAGTAATATTGAGAACGAAGAGGGGAGAAGGTGATTATTGAATTTATTGCATTAAAGTTAGGGAAAGGGAAAGAGAAAGAGAGCTGGCGAAAAATTGGGCCAGGAGCGGGGATTGAACCCGCAACCTTCGCCTGACCGGGGCGACGCCTTAACCGATTAGACCATCCTGGCCACTGGTTTCGGCGGACTCAATTTCTGACCAGCTCTCTGTGTACTGTTTAGTTTCGAATTCGCTTAACTGGGTAGACGACAACCGTTGCTGATTTAAGGCCCGCGCTAGATGACGTGCCACGTCACTGCCGCATGTCGGAAATAGCGCGGGCCTTAAATCAGCAACGGTTGTCGTCTGATTACGACTGATACATATGTATCAGTCGTAACGCTGTTTGTACATAGGAACTTCTGCCAATGTAAGACTTAAAGATAGGCTTTGGGGCGAGAGTCGCAATTGTTTCTTTACCCGTATATAAGGGGCGTCTTTATAGGCCAGGCTTTGGGGAGGATTGTGACATGAGGTCTGCAGAGAGACCTGACGTCACGGACGATGCGCTACCCAGACTTACTTTTTTTAACGTAATCTTTGCCAAAAGAAACCCCCCCTTCCCCATCTTGTCTTTTTTTTTTTTTTTTTAAATTCACCTCTACCATACCACCTAGCGCCTTCAAAGTTTTGCGTTCTATTGGCAACTCCAGCGAAATCGACGACACCTGGCGGCTAGAACAGAAATCTGTGGTAGCTGGTTCGCTCACCCGCTTTCTCGAGCGAATCAGATATTCACGGTGCCTGGCGGTCAGAACACAGTGCTCTGAAAGTAGGCAATGAAAATCGCCAATACCTCTCAAAGGAGCACAAGTTGGAAAGACGATTTATAATCCGGATAGCCCAACAGGTGGGCTTCTTTTTTTGCAACGTAGTATTATCTAAACTTATACGTTCATATTAAACGCAAAAAAAAATGTTTTTTTAATTCTTTTTTTTTATTTTGGAAGTTAAGAAGCGGACAAACGTGCGAATAATATAAATAAATTAACGCCAAAACGGTACTTTATGTCATTATGATGCTTTATTTCAATGGAGCATCGTGACTAAAATCCTAATTTTATTTAATCGGAAAGAAAAATCATTACGGGAAATATTTTGGTATGTTGTATTTTGTGTATGTATAGATACAGGACTGCGTGTGACGTCGGGGCTACATGCTGGTGGGCATTCCTATACTTGTCCTTTCTAATGAAAACAAACTCGGTGGTCAGGAGTCAGTAGTGTATGCTGCAGCGCGGAAGGATATTTACACGCTTTGCAGCAAGGCCACCGCATTGAGAGCTGATCTAACGTCAGTGCAAGAGAGCCATGGCTCAATATTGTGGTTGTGGTTTAGAATAAGGATTGTGGTTTAGAATAGAGTCTTGTTTAAAGATATAATCACGCCAGGGACAGATTTAAAGGGAGAGAAAAAGAAAAGACCCACCCGGCGTCCAAGTGCGATTAATTTCTTTTTACGTTATCACACCAGTTTGCCAATTTGTCCGAAACGTCACGTCCGTCCGTAACGTTAACTCGCTCCGTGATGTTACATGTCTGTGTAGAGACAGAAGTGTGACCCACAAGTCCGCCCCTGGATCACGTCTGTTGACATCGTCTGCCTGCCTGCACAATAAACTCCCACTCACACGCGCTTTTCATTTTGCGCTGATTTCCGGCTAATTCTTGCATTTCGATGAGGGTTATTTATTTCTTTGTGACTTCTGTTTTTGGTATGGCTACCGACAAAATTGACAAAGATCGAAAATCTTGACACCCTCAGTGCTCCTTGAACTTACATTTTAGCTTCCCTTACAACACACACACACACACACACACACACACACACACACACACACACACACACACACACACACACACACACACACACACACACGCGCGCGCGCGCGCGCACACGCGCGAGCGCGCACGCATATATAGGTGTGTGTGCGTGCGCGTTCGTGTGCGCGCGCGGGTGTGTGTGCGCGCGTGTATATATATATATATAATTTTTTTATTGCTTGGAAAGTTTAAGTTTTCGCTTAAACAAATCTTTTCCAGTGCGATTTCTCCAACACCTTCCAAGTTATATATAAACGCTATCGAACTGGATGTGTTAAATGTTCACGCCAAATAGATGCTGTTTCCAGCGAATAAATGCGTATTTTCATTTACAAAAAAAAGTCTTTTTTTTTCCTTTTGTGCCTTAAATGTTCTAAGCCGGGCTTAAGGTGACCGTCTTATGAAGGTACGGTATCTGTAGATATATTTCACAGAGTTGTTAAAGTGGCTGACACATATATATTGTGATCTTGGTTGGTTTGAGATAACTAATGGAGACAAAAAGGAGCAACCTTGAAAATATGACTCACTCAGAGCCTGCGTGCGTTATTTTGCACTTGTGTATAAGTATTTCACCACATTCAATATAAACGTACCTACTACCTTTTGTGTTGTCTGCAAGCTGAAGAGTTCTGGTTTGTTAGGTCTTGCCCACTGATATAGATGAAAATCTTGGGATTAAATATACAACAAAGTAAATGAATGCAGTATCTAACCAGGCCTTAATTTTTGTCTGTCACTTGGCTCAATGCAGAGAAACACTGAACTATATTTGAGTGGCATTTTAAGTTAAAACACGTTTCGCGAACTTTCAAAATTAAAATATATTCTTGCGTTGTTATCGGGAAATTGTATCAAAGGACGCGGGAACTTACGTGCGACGTAAAGGTAAACAGTGTGCACACGATCTGTGATAAAGCCGGAAAGGGACGTACAAATATTAATTTATTCATTCGATCTTCATGGCATAAAAAGATTCTAAGCCACTCTGGGTTCCAAAAAATATTAAGAATAAAAAAAAAATCACCTGCGGTTATTAGGCAAAATTTACATTCAGCGTACTAACCAGTCTTTGCATGGTAACGGCGCTGACTGATCATTCATGACCTCTGCGTACTCGAACGTCGTAATTTTGTGTTCCATTGTCAAGAGCCCTTGTACTTTTTTGTCTTCGTGTGCCAGTATCCGACTGAGCAGCCCCCACGCACGACGACAGGCTACTTTCTCGGCCCAGATCCTCGCAAAAACGCCGGCGCAGCAGAGGCGCGCGTCTTTGCGTCTATCTCGACCTGTCAGAAGCCGGCGCCCGCTGCTTACCCCGCACAATTTCTCGATACGCGAGCTTCTCCCAAACGCCGCGAGGGCGCGGAGATTCTCTCCGGCCTGGACGCTGCGGAGTGATATCCCGACGATTTGCGGCGCAGACACTATTTTGGGACGTTTAAACAATAAACATTCGATGGATAGCATATTAAAGACGTTCCTTTGAAGCTATGTGTCTTTTAGAGGCTGTAAAATGCACATTTACATCGCTCTGCGCCCTTTTCGATCCGAACTACTTTTTCTCTTTCGTCGGCCGCCTGCTCGGCGGATGCCGACTGCTGCACTCTGACGCTTAGCGTGCAGGTCGACGCTCACCATCACCTCCTGTCCTTTCTTGTTTGAAACCCCTGCTCTCCCTGTTAGTTTCCCTGGTCCTGCCAAATCCCACATAGCCCTTCTTGACCATAACCAAGGTATGTCCCATGTTTCCATGACCACGTCTTGGTTGTTTGTTTCCCTCTCAGTTGACGCTTCTTTTATTTCTGTCTCACTCACGTACGCCGTTCTCTCACCAACCCGCCGGCTACTTGACTGCATTTTTCCCTTCCGGTGACTTCTTGTCCCCCCTCTGCTGCGCCGGTTGTGTCTGTGTACCCGCTGTATGGCTCGCCTCTTCTCCGTCTTTTTCTGCGCATAATTGTTTGTGTATGTGTCGCCTCACCTTGATTTTTTTTCTCTGCGAGCACTATCTCTCCCGTGTCTCTCCCTTCCCCCAAACCTCCACCCTCCCCGACACAAAACTGCTGCCGGGCGAGCGACGACCGAGCGGAAACCGTAGCGTCGGTCAGTGCCATCGTCGTTCCGCCGCACAGATCCCCAACCAACCCCTCCAGCCGTCCGCTGCGCGCTAAGCAGTTAACGCGCGTTCGTGCCGGGCAGCAAATGCCCTGTTCCCTCGGCGTGGATAGGCCTCGCCGACGCAGCATTAGGCCTGCGGCGGCCCGAGCCGCCCGAGCTCCGCAAGCGAGGCGTGCCGCGCCGATGCCCGCCGCGCCGGCGAAGCTACCCATCGCGCATGCGCTGACTCTGCTCCGGGCGAGGGAGGAGGCGAGGAGGAAAGGGAGAGGGACCGGCGGCGCAAATGGCTGCTCTGTTGTGTGCGTGTGCCGTGATGCACCGGCCCGATCTCGTCGCTGGCGAGGGAGCCAGCCCGGAATCCTGAACCTCTGTCGGGACGCCCCTAGTTTTTTGGTTCTACTCTGTTCCGCCTCCTTTGGTTCTGTTTTTGGACTCGCCTGTCACGCGCACTTGGTGTGTTTGCTGAGTGCCCACGATGTCTCTTTTTTTTTTTCTTCTTCTTTGGATTCTCGCGACGGATTTGCACAGTTGCAGCAACGTCTCGATCTCTTCCCCGTCGTTCATGAACCGGAAATAGTGCGCTCTCTTTGACTAATGACCGAGCGTCGTCGAATGGCCATTAATGAGTCGCCAGCGGGGGCTGCTACCGTTGGCATCCTCCCGGAAGCTCGAGGGAATGTTGCTGCAAGCGTGCGTTCTGTTCTGGGTTTTAATTGGAACTGTGTACTTTTATGTGCCTTACACGGTTTTATTTTATTTGTGTTCTTCACCTTGTTTCTGAAATGTTTGGACTATCGTATTTGCTTTTGAAAATGCATGTGCATGCTGTGTGCATTCACCTGTGAGGAGGTGTGCCTGCTACGATAGACACATTACGTGCACATGGAATTCGTGAGGTATTGTGACAGGAAATGTTTGCCAGAGACCTTACAATATCTAGCTTTCCTTCTGCATTGAACGTTGACACAAACTGATGCGGTGTGCATGCAACTCAAATTAAAACGTGCTGAAAATTTAGAAAAAAAAGTTTGTTACTCAGTGTTGATGTCTTCAATTTAGTAGTGGCCGAGAATATACCTGAAACACTCTAGCTTTAAATGGTAAATGTATTGTGGGTATTGACATTTTTCATTACTGTGGCATTGAATATTGGCAGTTACAAATAAATTATTTGGTTCCTGCAGAACTCGTTATGTGGTCTCCATGATGATTGACTTTCTTTCTAGCTTATTAATGCAATATCTGCCCCTTGGTGGAAACAAGATGCATTCTTTCACATTGTGATTGATAGAATTGCGTTTGTCATTGGACAGTTATTGGTAAAGTGTGTGTCATGTACACACTACTGGTGGAATTAATTTTTAATTGACCTGGTGCTCTACAGGGTTAGTGATGTTTGTTGATATTCCGGGGACAAGGTGAAATCTTCTATGTTGCTAGCCATCAGATGCAGGAAACAATGTTTCTATATTTCTGCGTCATAGTGACAGGACATACTCGAGGACAAGGGTCCCTGTAATTTCATGTAGATACTTGTAGCTACACCGATTGCGCAAGTGTTTTTCCGGTATACAGTGCCCCTACTGAAGGTTTGCGGTCATGGCAAGCCATACATAGTTTCAAAAAGCCACTCGCAGGACAACAGGTTGATAGCGTAAAATATATCATTTGATGAGCAGTTTAAGTGACCTCTGAAATGTTTTGACTTTATGCTTCTAATCATTTATCAATTGAAGTTTGCTTGGGGGATAATATTTAGGACCAAATGAGGTGAATGCCCTGGCAATGACAACTTTGTAAGGATGCCGTGAAATATTTGTCCTGAAATAGAAAGGACGGATGAATATGAATCTCGTTAAGATATGTTGAGCGTTTCTAGCACACGCTTCGTAAAGCTGGCTCGGTAATAATGACCCACTTACACTGGCACAAACTTGTGTGAAAACAGTTGGCATTATTAGTGGTACACATGGGGCAAGTTATGCTCTGGGTCCACTCCTTGTGTCATCATAGGATACCTGAAGGTTTTTGGTAATATTAGAGAGCTTGAAGAAATTTCATACAATAAAGTGCCTGAACTTCAACAAAGACTATTGGGAGTGACAAAGCCAAGCTGTACTTTCTACTGAAGATTTATTTACATGCAAAAGTATGTATATGCCCCGTCGGGTTACTTATTAAAGAATTTAAACTCTTGATCAGAAAAGTGTAACCAGCCAACTGGCGCTGAGCTGTTACGTTTAGTGCTTCGGAGATCTCTGATGCTGTCTTGTCTATGAATTTTCCTAGTACCTTAGTTCTTTCATGTCCGCCAAAAATGTAGAATTTGTGTGGCAGTTTTGGCAAGAGAAAGTTGGCAGAGATGGGAAACTTAGAAAATGTATATTCCACTCACTTCCTTTGTCTTCAAATGTGCCATGACTATTGGCACCTAGTCTGTAATTATATAAAAGGTCCTCCATATGCAGATATAGATTTATGCCAACCTTCAGAAATTGACCTGACCCCAAATGTAACATTGTTATATCATGGTTCTAAATAATTTTCTTTTCTCATTGTCTGGGGATTGTCACTGACATTTTCTAAACATCATAATTATATCTATAAATTAAAAAAAAGAAAAAAAAGAAAACACTACTGTAAAATTACGCAGAAGAGCCCACTCAAAGTTTTCAGATGATTGTGAATGGTGGGGGATGGTCACTTGTTAGGTCGTGGATTTTGCATACATTTGTACTGCGGATATTGTTTCAGATGTTAGAAAATTTTGAAGTGGGCGCTTAGTGTGGAGTGAGTGGATGTTCAATATTATACTGCAATCGTTCATGAATATCCTAACAGAATTTGTTTATACTGTTATACTGTTTAAAGACAGTAGTAGCATTACGAGAAAGTTTTAGAATCTCTTGTAGTGTTTGCATCTCATGGAAGTTGTCTACTTGATCACTGAAAATGCATGCACATTGTTTCAGGCTGCAAACAGTGAAACAGGGGGTAAGTGCACTTGTTCCCTTCTTGCAGATAGAGGTAGAAAAAAAAAAGAAAATTGCCATTCCAAGCACACATGCATGCACTGCTGGAATACGCCCATACTTCTGGAGAGATGTGCATATATAGGGTGTCCCAATAAGAGTGCAAGATAGAACTTTGTAATAAAATGCACCATTTGCTTGAAAAGTGTGGATAAGTTTATTTTTGTCTAAAGTACACACACTGTGGTTAAGACTTGCCAAATTACCTAAGCACCAAGGAAAATGCTAAGAACAGGTACACGTGTTTGTGTTATAAAAGGTTTTGAGTTCAGAAATTGCAATAAGGCTTTGACAAATCAATGCACAAAGTGCAATTTCAGATTTATGCTTTAGAACTGTTACTGCTTCAGGTTCCAGCAGGTGCTGCTCGTGCTACAAGTATCGCCATGTGCTCCTTGGTGCTTGTGTAATTTAATAGGTCTGCTGTGGAACATAATATTCGACAAATGTCCCCCAAGATTCTGCTTGTATACAACTACTGTTGGGAGAAACATTTTTTGGCTGCATCATCTTGTGCGTTGGCGACCAGAATTGGCTGCTGGTGTCGTGTGTGATTTGACACCTTGCAGCTTCTTTCTTTAAGGTTTTGTGAAATCTTGTGTCTATACCAACAAACCACAAACAACCCCCGAGCTCAAGGCGGAGATTTGATGTTCAATTGGCAAAATGAGTCAGACTTGTGCAGAAATGTTGTGAGGATTTTCATCGAGATTAAGAGTACTGGCAGGGTTGGGGACATTTGTTTAATTCTGTGGTCTGCAATTAAACACTGTGTGTACTTTGTAATAAAATAAATGTTTTGGTACTTTTTGAATGAATGGTGCGTTTTATTGCAAAATTAAATCATGCGCTCCACTTGGGACGTCTTATTGGACATACTCATAATTGGTTATTTTATTGGGCAGCCCATAGAAACGGTGCTGCTGCAGGAACATTATTTAAGATCTGTCGTATTTTGTACCCCAGCAATTCCTTCTTAGTTCCTTTGGGAACATAGTCTTTGATCCAGCACCTCAACAGCTGCTTGGTCAATTTCTTCCATGCTTGAGGTCCGCATTTTACTTACATCCAGCGAAGCACTCGTCTTGTGCTTTTGACTGAAGAGTGTAGAAAGGTTTCGTCAGTGTACACCATTTACTACTTAGAATTGCTGTAATTAAGTCGAAACTTCTTTATTTCCTGTCAAACGTAATATATAAATAAGCTAAAACAATTTGCTGTTGGTTTTTTGTTAGGTGGCTCCATAATGTAATAAACATAGTCGGAACTGGTGGTTGATTTCCTCCTACTACGTTAACTGTTTCTTCTGAGTGGACACCTAGGCAACAGAGCGTCCACACCATTCCCTTGCTTCTGGCATGTCACGTGACGCTCTAAAGGTACATTATTCGGACTGTCAAACGGTAGCTTCGGCTCCCTGTCAGACGGAGGAATGAACGGCGGTATTGGATGTCTCAATTAGGTGACTAGCGATTAAGTTCTGACCAAGGGAATTTAACCCATGAGGGGCTGAATGGAAAGTTGATTAGGTATCAATCCAACTGATTTGAAAGGGCCAGTATAATAAATAGCCACCTGTTTTGTTCTCTTTTCAGAGATTTGGCGTGCTATATGTTGCCTAATGTCTTCTAATTCAGAATACGACGAATGGGGAAGGCGCGGGACAGGTGTGAAAGGAAATAGCACATGCCAATTAAATACCTGCGTGGTATTCTGTAAACAGAGCGAGGATGTCAGCTTCCGATTAGAGCAGACCCGTCAAAACCTTTAGACTGCGCTTATCATATTTGCCATCAGACTTGCCAGACCCATCTTCCTGTGTTCATGTTTTGCTTCCTTTCTGAAAACTAAAATAAGAAAATAGGAGCAGTTTCGGGTAGCAGACGCCATTCGTCTCTTTGTGTATTCGCGCACGACGTCGGCCACCATGTTTAGATAACAGCAACTTCTGAAACTTTGACATCTAGTCCGATGCACTAGTGCCGCGTTTGAGCGGAGGCTGGGTGTTTGGCGATTCGTAGTATATTTTTTTGTGGCGTGATAAAATGCTCTCGGGCCACTTCCAAGCGTTCGTCTAACACGAGTAACGGTTCTCTTTCTCGTGTTTGCGGTTGCGAGTTTTGCGTAACGTTGAAAGTGCCCCAACTCCCTGCTCTCTTTAGTGTTGGAATTTTGAATGTTCTCTAAAATCGCCAGGTTGTCCCGTACTATCACGTGATATTTGCAAAGGTACTGCTGCTTGCTTGATCCGACTGCATATACACTACCACTTCGTCGGGAACTTGTTTGTTCTAAGAGCCGGCCCTACCAACACCACCTAGAAAGCTTTCAAGCCTGCGCGTCACTTGACATAACGTCACTTCCCGGAGGCCTGCACGGGCGCTGATTGGATACGAGTGCCGCGTCAGCGTTCACGCGGGACTCGTTTCCTATCGTAGTCCCACGCGAACGCTGACGCGGCACTCGCATCCAATCAGCGCCCGTGTAAGCCTCCGGGACGTGATGTCATGTCACGTGACGCGCAGGCTTTGAACTTTATTTCAGCAACATTATGCCGAGGACACCGGACAAAAAGCTAACAGAAGCTAGCTTGACTGGGTCCGGTGCCCTTGCATGTACAGGGAACACAATCATATTTAAACAATCCTAAATATTTCTTACAATATTCAAATCAAAATTTAAAATGGTCCAATAAAATTTTAAAATCACCGACATTAGAGAACATTTTTTTTTCTTAATTTAACAACACAAAAAAGTACGCAATGTTTTCTTAGTTATACAATGAATATCGATGCGGTTCATTACAATGTTGTTAAGCAATGTAGGTAGATTATGAGCAAGAGACTGCAGTGCATAATTTGTACGAAAATGGGGAACCTTCCAGAATTCTCTACGACGAACATCGAAGACTGATTCACGCTTAGTTAGGTTTGCTAGCTGTGACAAAAAAGCAATAAACTCCAAAGTTGAAAAGGCGTAAGAAAATAGCAAACGATAGTCATAAATACAAGAAACTTTCATGATATTGTAGCTCAAACATAATGGTTCAGCATGTGTGTCGTACGGACCATTAGCAATGAAACGAATAATTTTTTTCTGAAGAGTTATTAGTTTGTTGACGTTACTTTTGGTCGTTGTGCCCCAAACTAAATGGCAGTAGTTGATTTGGCTTGAAAGCTTTATAGACCTTTTCCGCTTACTCTCGCCCCCGACCGCCAAGTAAGCATATCCGGTATGGGCGACGAAAAAATATCATAACGTTTCAACCTGCAAACAGTATTTTTCCGTGATTCCTCCCCATCCAAGAAATCGAAAGCACGCGACCGTGTGTTGTGGAGTAAACGGGCTTTCAAACACGTGATGGAAAGAAGCAATCTATCTGAGGCTTCACCACACTAACGAACACTCGGGGAAACTTACGAAATTTTCGGACCTTTGTTGAATTACAATGTTCGCCACCGCGCCGACAACACGTGTCCGCGAAAGCCACCAGAGACGTGGAGAACAGGGTTGCCAGGTGTTCGAACTCCAACCCGCCAAACATCTACGAGATCTAGACCAAAAATAGCCAAATGTCGATCCAGAAAAATAGCCCCAAACAAACTTATCATTTGAAACGTTTATTTTGAGCAGAAAAGACACATAATACATTTTTATCAATCAAATGCTCCAGAAATGGCGTCCCTTGCACGTTCGGCGAACTTCCTAAACGCTCGTACAAACGCATGACAACATACCTTCCACTGTATTGGGACGGGTGACCAGAATGACGTCACGGTAAACTATGCAGAATTCAGACAACCGCAAGGAATCGCGCCGTCACTTGTTGAGATGGAGGAATAACAGCACATGCTTGTATTCGGAAATAAACAATTGCACAAGGCGCGCAAAAAAAAGACGAATTTGTTTGCTGTCGCAAACTTGTCAGGGTTAAGGGACTGAAGCACCAAATGTTCACGTAACTTACTCTAAAAATACATTCGAACCTATAAACCCAAGTGTTTTCAGGCATTTTGGTTCCAGCACAGGTCAGAAATAGCCCAATGCACAGATTAGAAATAGCCCAATACTAGCCAAATAGCCAACTACCATTTTTCCCGCCAACTGCAAATAAAACTAGCCCAATTTGGCTATTTATAGCCCAACCTGGCAACCCTGGCGGAGAAGCGCGGAGCGACCTGGACCGGCTGGTTCCCGGTTTTCCCGCTTGGCAGCGTCCGTTTTGCTGGAGTCGCGAATAGGAGGCGTTGCCCATACTCGGTTTCACCTTGCGTCCATGGCTCTGTGGACAAAGCACGTGACTACGCTTTCCACGCGTCACGGCACTTCCACTCGAAGGTCACGGGAAACTTGCACGGTCTTGGATTGGCTTCAATACAGAATTGTAGTAGACCGTTCCCGCAGACCGCTAGGCACCCGGATAGCGCTCCGTAATCCGCCACAAGACCTTGGAACTATGCAAAGATGGCTAGCGGCGCGCATGCGCAGCTGCGGCGTTTTCTTCGGGGATACCGTAGCGGAGGAGAAAAACGATCTACTACAACTCCCTAATGTCTCGTATTATGCGCTGCGGCCGGGCGCAAGGTGAAATAGCTCACCTCGAGTGATTCGCCCCATCTGTTTTGACACCACTGGATACAATGTTACGCCGAACTGTTGGCTGCCGGTCAAATCTTCGGTTTTTGCTGCCGGCAGCCCCAAGGGACGGGCGCGCGTACAAGGCCGTGCTGGTCTCATCGCGGAAAGGCGCCGACGAAAGCGTTGTGACGACGGGTCAATCCGAAGGACGGAAAGGTCGCGGCGGCCGCAGGGACCCAGATAGGACAGCTTCCGAAATGTCTTTCTTGTGCCTCCGCAGTCGTAAAAGGGAGACATCGGCGAACAGGAGGGAGGGTGGGGGAGGGCCCTGCGCTCGCTCGTTTCAGATAATGGAGGCTCGCCGCACAAATTCCCCGTGACTGT